AACAGATCATTTGGACTGATTCCACTCTCGCTCAAGGCAGCAAGCAACAGATCCTGTCCTGGTTCCACCATTTCTGAAACAAAACACATTACAGACAAGTGAGTGAGTTGTAACAACTGCTTATACGAAACGACCTTCAGAAGTCAACATTTCTCTCAATTGCTCTTTTTCATTAACGTACCTGCAAGAAGGTTTGATAGCTATGAGATCCTGTGACAGCTATTTTTACCATTGGAAAAATACAGAACATCATGTATAAAGTACCCATCACACTGAGTATGGCTGAAAGTCCATGGTGTGAAGGGTGGTACTTCCTGTTAAGCACTTCCTGTTTAGTACACGCTGTCAGCTTAACTCACCCTCCTAGCCAAGGGCCTGCTCTGTAGAACCACCACTGTGTCATTGGGACGTAGTTAAAATTAATGTGTTTAAGGCCAGGGTGTGGGACGCTACAATGAAATTGGCAGGACTCGGACATGTTACTACATATACAACAGTGGCATTTGGATGGGGGGGGGGGAAACCAGGCCGTCCTACGGATCACTGCACATCCCTTTTCAGCAGCCACTTCCTTTGGCAGAAGAAGTAGTCATACAGCATCGCCCTATGGTACAGCCTTGCAGTGGTCTTCCCACTAGTCTTCTGAACAGGGGAGACATAAGCAGGACTATACTACACAACCTCGGCTAACGCGCACCCCCCCCCCCCGCTCTTATCCAGGAGTGCTGTAAACTCCCACTCTCTGTGCCACTTGCAGCCAGGCTGACCGCTACACCCACCCCCAGTCAGTATTCTAAAATGGCTGCAGATTCACTTAAGATTCACTTTCCAGTACTTTACTACTACTCATAGATACAAAACGGTCATCTGACGAAGAGCATCTGATGAAAGGAGCTTTAACTCCCGAAAGCTTAAACCCTGAAAATCCGGTTCGTCTCTAAGGTGTTACTGGACTCAAATCTAGCAACCCTATCCAAGACAGAAGTGACCAAAAAAGCAACACAAAGTCCCCTGTAATTTCAAAGGAACTTTGTGGGGTCCCATGGGGTTGGGAGCACACAGAGCCCAGGGCAAGGGCTCAAGACTTCCAGTATCTTCCGGTATTTTTATGATGCGCACATTCTAACTCGAACCCAAATCCAGGATGATCTAACTCGTAAAGAGATCACTTAAAGATAATTCTTCGGAGGTACGGAGATGTTATTTGACTAGAGAGATCAGAACTTTACAATGGAACAAAAAACTTTGCAATAGCTACATCTGGCAGCTGTTAATGTTACAGCTACAGCATACTACAGTTCAAATTGGTTTAATCTAACATAATAGCAACCTTTTTGTTTAAAAAGCAGCCATACTGACATTAAAACATAAACACTAGGGCAGGGCATATGCAATTCATGATCGGTGTAGCATTCATTTGTCTTACAGGCAGACAAGAAGCACAAAGTTAGAGGAAAGTTTTCTATTAACCAGAGATAAATTTGATGAAAATCTGCCCAGTAACAACTATTTAATATGCAACTCACATTGACAGTACAGCATAGCACGGGTTAGGCACACTTAAACAAACCACACTGCTTGTATTTAAGATTTTGAGTTGAACAGGTAAGCACTACTTACCCATTAATATCAGATCTCACAAAATAAAAGGTAAGATTCTATGTAACAACCGTTCTGGGGACACAAAGCTATGCCTGCAAACATCCAACATTGACTGCCCTAGCAATCTGTTCACACACAGCACACTGATTAAGTTTACAGGTTAGATTATGCCTTAAATCCTTCAACAAATGTATGCATCCCTGACAACCTTAAAACACTAACTCACGGCAGCAGTAAGTTTCTAGAAGGATAATCAAATCTTACTCCTCCATTGTAAACACGTGTGCAAGACATAAACTTCCGGGTTGAGCCAGAAGTGGCTACGTAATTGTCTCAGGCATTTTCTACTTGCTCTGGACTCAAAAAAATCCATTCAAAACAACATGCAGGACACTAACGAAGCACATGAGACCTAAGAGATTATACAAAGCTTTTGGTTTCAGGGGATTTTTCAACAGATATTTTACATTTTACAGTAAAAGAACCAAGTTTGCTTGCCAAAGAGATAAGGAAAAAAACGGCTGGAAACATTGGAGAACAAAAGGCATTTCTGCTTAGTCAGCCAGGAGGACAAACTGCAGCTTTTCCCACCCTCCTCCCCTTATGTTTTAGGGGCTGCGATCATCCGACAAGACAGCCAACAAAGCTTTCCAGCATCCTCCACAAAGAGCTCTGCAAGCTCAAGCTTGCAACGTATTTTGCATGCAGAAGGGACAAGTATTTGCCAGCAGCTCACTGAAGGAGCTCCCTTTGCAAGCATGCGACTGCCACTGGCAAACTGCAGTGAAGTTTCCTGTGATCTTTCAAGGCTGAGGCACCCTGGCCGCAGCACAAACTGAGTTCTGCAGCAAAAGCGCTCTCTAGCTCATGCACCATGGCTGTGATCCCTCAGCATGTTTACTTGGGAGACCCCACTGACACCAATGGGATTTACTCATGGGATAAACACACCCTTAGAACCAGGCTTTGAGCATGGCCAGATAATTGATTGTTACTGAGAGGCCCAGACAAACAACTGAAAGACCTCTCCCCACTGATACTGCAAATCATGTTGTTCCAGAAAGCATATGAGGACCTTTAAAATATATATAGAGAGGCAGGTTGGTTCATAGAATCACAGAGCTAAAAGGGGTCATACATGCTGTCTAGCCCAACCCCCTCCTCAATGCAGGTTACGCACTCTGCACCCACCACACACTCTCTGGTTATGTGGGGTACGGGAAGCCAAATTAGTATGATTTGGTCAGATGAACACAGACCCTACCCCATGGGCTAACAAAATCTGTTGCAGGGGATGAGGTTTTGTAACTCACAACAGCTCACCCCCTGCCCCAAATGTTGTTAGTCTTTCAGGTGCTCCTTCCCACTGCTACAGACGGACTAACAAGGGGGACCCATCTTGATAACATCTTGTATTTGGGGGGGGGGGGTGCGCGCGTTGGTTTCATCGTTTCAAAGCCGAAGAGCCATTTCTGTGGTCATATGGCCGGCATGCCTAAACACCAAGGCGCACGGAACGCTGTTACCTTCCCACCGAAGTGGTACCTATTCATCTACTTGCAGTTTCTTGCTTTCGAGCTGCTAGGTTGGCAGGAGCTGGAACTAGAGACGGGAGCTCACTCCGTCATGCACACGGCTACCCATCTGGATCCACTTGGTGTCAGTAAGGACAGATGTGGTGTAGTGGTTAAGAGCGCTGGAGTAGTATGCAGGAGACCTGGGTACAGAGTGGTCGGGGCTTCAACAAGTGTGGGGCAGGTATTCCATTTGAGATAAGGAAGAAGAGAATGCCCACAGACATCCAGTGACCCTGTCCATGCCAAAACGCAGAGGTGGGAAACCCTCGTGCTGATCGGAAATGGGAGATGAGGAAAGAGAAGGGAGGCTGCCCACGGGGCATAAACAAGACTCAACCTTTATTTTTTGGGGGGGGGGGATTGTGGCACCGAATCATAGAGTTGGAAGGAACCTCCGGGGTCACCAAGCCCAACCCCCCTGGCACAAAGCAGGAAATCCACAAGGTACCTCCAGGGTCATCTAGTCCAACCCCCCTGGCACAATGCAGGAAATGAGGAGGAGAACTGGACAGTCCGCATGGCTTGGAAAGCCATGAAACATCTGCAGATGGCAGCTCAGAAGTAGAATCCGAATCAGAATTGGGAGCCGCAGCACCCAAACCACCCCAGGAAGATAAAAGCAAGAAGAGAGGAAGGAAAGGCAGAAAATAGCTTAATCTTCAGAAGGAATGTTTATATTACATTACATAATCTTGCATTGTCAATCATTTTAATTTTTTTTTTGCATATCGAAATAATATAATAGAATTTTTATTCTTAACCTGAATAAGGGAAAAGCTTTGGCTTAAGATAATAATTATTATCCTATAGGGTCATTGTATAACTGTAATTTCAGTTAGTGTGTCGTTTTGTAGGATAAATTTTTTAAAAAGTGTGGGGCAAAGAGACTGGGATGCTGGATGTATTCACATGCATCGTGGAGACCCGGCCTTTCTCCCCCCAACGGGACCCAAAGCAGCTTAACGTCTCCTCCAGTGTTCCCTCTAAGCTGAGTTAGTGTGAGCTAGCTCACAGTTTTTTAGCATCCGGCTCATATATGGTCGTTGTATAGCTGTAATTTCAGTGTGTGTGTCGTTTTGTAGGATAAATTAAAAAAAAAGTGTGGGGCAAAGAGACTGGGCTGCTGTATGTATTCACATACATCGCGGAGACTCGGCCTTTCTCCCCCCAACGGGACCCAAAGCAGCGTAACGTCTCCTCTCAGTTTTATCCTCACAACCACCTTGTGAAGTAGGTTAGGCTGGGAGACAGGGAAAGGCCCAAGGTCATCCAGCGAGCCTCTGCGGCGGAGCAGGGATTCGCATCTGGATCTTCCCGATTCTCATCCAGCACTGTGACCCCCTGCACCACTTCAGGCTGTGTCTGTGTCTCTCCTCTCTCCTCCCACCCAGGTCTGCTGGCTCGGAGCAGCTGATGTACATCAAGGAGGACCTCATCATCCCACACGTGAGTGCCGTCTCCCCCTGACCACCTCCCCCCTTGCCCCCCTCCACCTTTAGGGCACCGGGAAGTCCAGTGCTCCCTCCAAACTGAGCTAGTCTGAGCCAGCTCACAGTTTTTTAGCCTCCGGCTCACACCTTTTCCTCTTCGCTCGGGAAGGAGGGCGCCAGAGCGAACGAATGTATGCCGTAGCCAAAGCACTCGCTCACGACTTTAATGCTGGTAGCTCACAAAGTGGAATTTATTTATTTATTTTTTATTTATTTTATTTCCCCGCCCTCCCCGCAAGCTTACATAGGCACAACTGTGCAATAAAATACAACAGGATTAAAACAGTTGAGGCACCAAGTGCAATAAAGATAGAACAAGTTAAAACAATTAAAACAAAAACTCACATCTTGCAGGATACATTAGGAACTAAAATACTCACTCCCTATTGTATATCGCGGTGGGATCAAGAGGGGGGATGCCATGGGCCATGATCCCACCGCGAATTTTTGCTCACAAGACTCCACAGCTTAGAGGGAGCAATACCCGGAACCCACAGCAGAGAAGAAGAAGAGGAGATTGGATTGATACCCCGCCCTTCACTACCCAAAGGTGTCTCAGAGCGGCTTACAAACTCCTTTCCCTTCCCCTCCCCACAACAGACTCCCTGTGAGGTAGGCGGGGCTGAGAGAGCTCTGACAGAAACTGCTCTTTTTCGAGGACAGCTCTTATCAGAACTACGGCTTGCCCAAGGTCATCCAAGCAGGTGCAAGTGGAGGAGTGGGGAATCGAACCCAGTTCTCCCAGATTAGAGTCCGCGCAATTAACCACTTCACCAAACTGGCTCTCCATCTTTCTTTTTATTCATGCCCTGCTTTTTCTCCCCAGGTGGGACGCAGAGGGGCTGTTTAGAAAGTTGTTCTCTCCTCCTCCACTTTCTCACAACGACGACCCTGTGAGGTAGCCCAGGCTGAGAGTTTGTAATCGCCCAAGATCACCCAGCCAGCTTACTTGCACAAGGTCTCAGGTTCAATCCCTGGCATTGCCAGTTAGAAGGACCAGGCAGTAAGTGACAAAAAAAGACCTTGACCTGAGACCCTGGCTCACGCCGCTTTCTAACTCGCCGCCGCCATCTTGGCTCTCCCTCCCTCCCCTCTCGAGGGGGAGGGGGGAGGAGAGCGGGCGGCGCGGGGACGACACCAACACCACGTGACCTCGGCGCCTCCTGCTGCTGTTGCGGCGGCGGCCGCGGCCGCCTCCGCCCCCCTCCTGTTGCCGGGCGGCGCGCGCCTTCCCGCACTCGCTCGCCACGTGACCCGCCCCCCCTCTTCTACGCACTCGCCTTTGCCTTTCCACGCCTCGAGAAAACGAGGGGGCCCTGCCGGCGCATGCGCGTCCGCTCCCCGCTGCCGCTGTTTCTCGAGGCCGCCCGCCATAGGCCGCGTCGACGTCACGTGTCCGCGTCTCTGGCGGACCGTTCGTTGGTTCGCTGATCACGTGGCTCGGCGCGCTCCCCCCCTTTTTGGGGGGGTCGCCTCTCTTACCTCAGAGAAATCCGAAGGGAGGGGGGAGCGAGAAATAGAGACGGAGAGGCGTCCAGAAGGATCCCGTCGACCGATGGTTACCGGCTGGAGTAACCCCATAACTGGCGACTCGGACGCAGAGGCAGACATAGGCCCGGTTTTCTGTTGGGAGGGGCAAAGAGAGGAGGTCGAGGAGACGGCCGCAGGGAGTCACGTGATCCCGCGATCTAAAATGGCGGCGTTGACGTCGGAACGCAAGGAGGTTGTCTACGCCCAAGTGACAAATGGTTGACCGGTGCATGATGGGAGAGAGGGACCTGATGGAAGGAGCCATAATGGAGAGGTCGAATTGTATGGCTCTCCGCAGGCTCAGATGCGCTTCCTTTCCCCCCACGTGGGGAGTACCCGCAACCAGTAACAGCTCTTGTCCTGGTCGTCGAACGCGTGGTAGCGAGCATGCGCAGTATTGCAAGTGAAGGTCCTGACCTGGAATCAAATTTTCCAACTCGGCTGTATAGTACGATATCCCCTCCCAGTGCGGCTCTTTGCTATAATCATGTGGAACTGGTCTTCGGGTTTTTTAAATATTTATTTTTATATCTCCTATGATGACATTGGTAACTGATATTACTAATGCTCTCTGGGTGACGAAAAAGCTGAAGGTATACAAAAGAGTTCAAATGCGAAAATGTGAATGTTGGGTACACGATACATATCAGTGAAACTGAAAACATCATAGAACTTGCAATGAATTATACTGTAAATGCGGACGTGTTCCAGGACAAAACGCTCAATAAAAATGAATTGGAAGAAGACAGAAGAAAAAAGACAACAAGAAGAGAAGAATTGTGTAGAACTTTCTCAGGGTCAGACTTTGGAATTAATTGCCTTGAATATTGAAAGTAAGGATAAAAATAATACTATACATAAATTTTATTTATTCAAAACTACATAGTGGTCTTGGACAACACAAAACACTATTTCCACCCTTGTGTAGCACCCATTGGCAACCAAAAAAATTGTTATGGCTGATATAGTAACAAAATTGATGTAGACTAGCAAAAAAGTTGGAGAGACAAGCATCAGGAGCTATGACTGGCTGGATGCGAGAGAGTGTTTCAGTCATATGGGAACCAGGTATATATACAAACAATTTTCAGCGGAATTCTTGGCCTCTGGCAGCTCCCAGTGACAAAAGCTTAAAGGTAATCATTCATCCCAGCATGAAGACGGAGAAAATAACTGCCTACTAAATTGCATCCTGTTGTGTTGCTGTTAAAAGCATTGTGTGCACATTTCTGTGACATGTAAATAAGGTGACAAGTGGATCTAGAATTTTTATCTATTTTATTTATTTACCTTCAATTTGTATTCCGTGTTGCTGGTGCAAACTACCTTTTTTCATTTTATGAACATAAGAGAAGCCATGTTGAAATACATAAATACAATTTTCAGCAGAATTCTTGGCCTGATAACTTCCAACAACAGAACCTTAAAGATGCAGCTGCTTATCCCAACTAAGAGAAAGCAACTCTATCTGTTGAATTGAAGCCAGTTGTGTTGCTGTTAAAAACACTACGGCAGGCCTAATTCTGTGAGATGCAAATAAGGTGGTAAAGGATCTAGAATATTTTTTCCATTTTTATAGCTGGACTTTGCCTATTCTAAATTTTCTTTTTTGCATTTTATATTTGAAATGCTTTTTTTTAACCGAGAAAAATAGGGAAAACTCAGATGTTTTAAAGATCAGTGTTAGGCTGTGAAGTTTCAGCCCCAGTTCAGACACGAATGAGAAGGCAGAAATGGGGAAGGGAGGAGTGTGTGAATGGACTGTTCCACTGCACGCTGCCGTGGGTGTTCCTTGCATTAAAAACGAAAGTTCCTGCACACAGAAAACTATAACAAGTCTGAATGGCTTACAACAACATAATCGTAGGAAGTTCCCTACATGTGCGAATCGTTCCAATTTTAGTATATGTGCTGCCGAAGCGAGCACAACACGTCCGAATCAAGACCCGCGGAACTGTTATCCGCACAATGTCTCTCGTACACACGTGGCGCAGCTTTGCAGAGAGGAGGCACAGAGCAGCGTCCTCTCCTCCAATCACCGTCCGCTGGTCCTTCCCGCTGACCAATCAGCAGCCAGAGAACGCTTATTTTAAACACTCCTTCTCGGTAGAGTGCGCTAAGCTTCAGAAGCAAAGAGGAAGGCGGGGCGGTTTACATATGCGCCAACCAGAGACTGTGTAGTCATGAGGAGCAGCCGGACGAACCAATCAGACCACACGAAAGACCCAGTTGTATCATTTTGGAAGCAGTTGGTTACACTCAAGGGGCGGGGTCAGATCCCCCCCCCCCGGTGAATTGTCAAACAGGGGAATCTCTTTGCTTCCGAAGTGGACGGGCTTTAACGCGGTTCAGTTTTGCCCTACGGGATCATGGCTAAAGGTAAATCTGCTTGCTTCCAGCTTGGGGGACTAGCCCAGGGGAGAGGGTTGGGATTGGGAAGCGGGGGAGGGGGGTGCTTTCTGCTAAGGGCAGAGAGTGGGGGCGGAGAAGGGATGGGGCTGGGGTTAGCTGAGAAGGTGCGGTGGGAAAGGTGGCACCGGAAAGGGAGGGTTAGGTGCAGTGTTCCCTCTAAGCTGAGTTGGTGTGAGCTAGCTCACAGTTTTCTAGCCTCCAGCTCGCACCTTTTGGTCTCCGCTCAGGGAGGATGGCTCCAGAGCAAACTGATTTATGGAGCAGCCAAATCGCTCGCTCACAGCTTTAATGCCAGGAGCTCACAAAGTAGAATCTCTGCTCACAAGACTCCGCAGCTTAGAGGGAGCATTGGTTAGGTGGGGGCCCTGCTTTGGAAACGGTACACCAGGAGCATTTTTTCCTATAGTGGGGTGCAATGAAAGGGGGTTCATATAGCATTCGCTCAAATGCAAAGCTAGGTCTGTTTTTCCAGGGGGGTCATCTTGTAATGTAAGTCACTTATGTCCAGTGATAATCTTTGTATGTGCGTATGCCATTTTTTGGGGTGCTTCAGTGTTCCCTCTAAGCTGAGTTAATGTGAGCTAGTTCACAGTTTTTTAGCCTCCGGCTCACACATTTTTGCCTTAGCTCGGGAAGGAGGGCTCCAGAGCAGACTAATTTATGCAGTAGCCAAATGGCTCGCTCACAACTTTAATGCCAGCAGCCTCACCAAGTAGATTTTTTGCTCAGAAGACTCCACAGCTTAGAGGGAGCATTGATTCACATGGACCTATGGAAGCTGTCTTCTACTGATTCAGACCTATAGACTAACACATGGCCTACGATATGATGGTGGTTTGATTTCCTTTCAGTGCTAAAATCATATGAATTCATGAGGATCCGTTTAGATCCGAGTTTTACCCAGACCCTACATATGGGAGCTCTGAAGGTGAAGAGAACAATGTATTTAGAGGGGTGCAGAGATGAGAGCCAGCGCAGTGTAGGAATCCGAGTGTCCGACTAGGGTCGGGGAGACCAGATTTGAATCTCCCTTTCTGCGATGGAAGATGGCTGGGTGACCTTAGGCCAATCATATGTTCTCAACCTAGCCTACCTCACAGGCTTGTTGTAAATAACGTAAACCAGGAAGGGAGAATCACATACTCAGCTCTGAGCTTTCTGGAGGGAAAGTGGGATAAAATAACCAGGTGCTTTCAGTTGCCTAACTTTAAAAAAGTCAATAAATTGTATGGCTTTTTCATTGAAGCCCTCTGCACAAATCTGGATAGTTTGGTGTAGTGATTAAGTGTGCGGACTCTAATCTGGGAGAACCGGGTTTGATTCCCCACTCCTCCACTTGCACCTTGCTGGATGACCTTGGGCACGCCGTAGTTCTGATAAGAGCTGTTCTTGAAAAAAGAGCAGTTTCTGTCAAGAGCTCTCTCAGCCCCACCTACCTCACAAGGTCTCTGTTGTGGGGAGGGGAAGGGAAAGGAGATTGTAAGCCCCTCTGAGACACCTTTGGGTAGTGTAGGGCAGGGTATAAATCCAATCTCTTCCTCTTCTTCTAAAGGAAATACTGGTTCTGAAGTGGGTGCCACTGGACTTGTGTTCCCTTTCTTTGACCAAATAATATCATCATATCTCCCTGGCTGCAAATACATCTCAGAAGAGGCATTCCTTCCCATGTGTAAGAGGCTAGGAATGCTTCTTCTGTCGATGCTGTTCATCTGTAACTCTGGCAGGCATTATATTAAAAGTAGACTGGGTTTGTTTAAGAGGTTTACAGTGCAGTCCTGTGCAGACGTACTCCAGTGTAGAGAGGTACTCTAGAGAGCCAGTTTGGTGTAGTGGATAGGAGCGTGGACTGTAATCTGGGAGAACCGGGTTTGATTCCTCACTCCTCCACATGCAGTTGCTGGTGTGACCCTGAGTCATTCACAAGTTCTCTCAGAGCTCTCTCAGCCCCACCTGCCTCCCAGGCTGTCTGTTGTGGGGAGGGGAAGGGGAAGGGATTGTAAACCACTCTGAGACTCCTTCGGGTAGTGAAAGGTGGGGTATAAATCCAATCTCTTCTTCTCTTCTTCCATTGTAAGGACATTCAATGGACTTAGACTGGAGTAACTGCATGGGATTGCACTGTTGGTCTGTCATTGTCAGCTGCATTTAGCTTGGGAACCGTGCCCTGTAAAGGTTATAATATAAAATAAATAAAATTCTGGTTTTTTTTTTTTTTTTTAAACTCTGTTGCCCAATGAATCAGGAAGCACCTTCTAATCCTTTACATTTTTAACTGATTCAATGAGAAAAGCTGAAGCCCCGTGCAAAAAGTATGGGGGAGAGAGGATGCCTTCAGATGTTCAGGAAAAACACGGGGAGGGGGACAGTAGACTGTGATTGGGGGGGAAGGAACAGTTAATTTTCATTGAGTCGTGGCATGTCGGGTTGGGGGAACATGACTGATATTGGAAAGTGTCTAGAAGGTTTGTGTGGATGTGGAGTTCTCTTAGATCTGAGTGTGTTTGCTTGTTTTGCCCTAACCTCAAACTGATTTATGGTGACCTTGTAGGCTTTTAAAGACAAGAGACGTTCAGAGGTGGCTGGCTGTCGCTTGCCTCTGAATCACAACCCTGGTATTCCTTCAGGGTCTCCCGTCTAAATACTAGCCAGGGCCGACCCTGCTTAGCATCTGAGATCTGATGGGACGGGGCTACCTGGGGCTATCCAGATCAGGGTATCTGTCTAATCCAGGGGTCGTTTCGTAGAAAAAGAGGTGCAGGAGCCCATTAGCATAAGTCATTTGCATAGCTCATTTGCATATGCCACACCCCCTGACATCACCGGAAGTGTGTCAGAAGGTGACACCCACCGCTCAGGCTCCACTAGACTGCTTTGGATTGCTAGCTATGGGGCGGGGGGGGGGGCAGGCAGGTCTTCCCTCCCAGGG